TTCTAATGTTTTAACTATCTCCTTTTTCTATTTCTTCGGGATATACAAAAAAGTTCATATTTTCCATAAGGATGTTTCTTACTTAGAGGAAACAATAGGTATATTTTCCATGACTGAATAACTTAGGTGGTGCAATTATTCCTTTTAAATAGACTAAACTTCTATACGTTGCGGTCGAAATTATAGAGAGAGGGATGAAACATGCGGAGATCGATAATCCATAGGCGTATCTTTCTAAAAACGACAAGATGTAGAAAATATGGAAAAAGATGACAATACATAACATCTATTATTTTTATGAGCAACAGACAGGTTTGCTACAACTTGGTCCATTTTAATTATTGCTACGTTTTAAAACGTCCCGGTTATATTTTTTTAATTTATAAGTTTAATATATATTTAATTAAACCCCTCGCCTACGCTTATGCTATGGCTAAATCAAGTACTACATACATCCGTCTACACCCACTAAAAAAACATTTCCCTATCCCCTACTAAGTGCAATAGACAGAGATAGAATATAGATCGACGTTCAGTGTAACTTAGTCTATAGACGATTATAGATCCTATCGATGTGCATAGTGAGCGGCACATCATTTAATACAAGACAAATAATATTAAACCATTATAAAAATCATTTTATATTTATACGCTTTATGGTAATAGTGTTTTTATATTATGTCTGAGTCACTCCCTATAATTTCTACTGTGAGGTATATATAACCCTAAACTTCTAGTTTATAAATGCATACCTGAATTACTCAATAACAGAATAGCGTGGCCAGCGTGATTATTTATATTTTTGTCTATAATTAGCCGAAATTTGGCTGAATGCTTAGTAGCTTATATCTTACCTTCCTTATTAATTGCATACCCAACTCTATTCTGTATCACACAAGACGAATGTGTGTTATTCCAGTAGGAATTTTTAGTGCCTTCTTAATTCAGCAGAAGAAGTGAACAACGATCAACAATCAAAGTAAACAGAAACATTAAAATAGATAAAAATCTATAACTACATTCATTATTTCTCGCAATGGTTTTATAAAACGAAAACAGATATTTTGCCTCTGATAAACTTTACAAATTATTTTCGGTTATTATCAGTCATCAGATATGAATCATAATGATAAGATATAATAGCAAAATTAAAAGAGATTCGTTTGTTACCGTGCTGCCTACTAGACAGATTCAACTTAAAGTGAGTACAAATTACAGTTTACTAAGTATATAATCCCTAGCGGTAAAAGATCAAGTAACTCCAATACGACTATAATTTTTTTTAAATATGTATTTTAATATCAGCTTTCGTGTAAATTTATAAAAATTTCATAAAAATCCTATCAAATGAAGTCAAACAATGTTCTTTAATACTAAAAATATAAGTATACAAAATATATCTAACTTTATAGACAAAATTATTAACTGATATTGCAGTCAACTACTTTATGGGTTACATGGCCCACGTTGCATTGAATTATACCAACAGTATCTTGTAAGCAGAGAACACGTAGCAGACATATTGAAATTATTAAGTAATGTAATGTTTCGCAAAAATATTTTATATTCTCGTTGTTCTAATATAGCTTTACAATTAGACAAAGACCAACACGCAAGTCAGGATAGAGAAAATCACAACCATTTCTGCATTTTACTTTAGGATTGATGTGTTGCCAAATAAAAGGAGGACAGTGGTATGAGATTTTAGTTGAGTTTCATCTTAATAAATGGCATCTGGCACGCTGCATATGTCCGTCAAATTCGCTTTACTTTCACATTTTTTTAAATTACTAGTTAAATAATAATTGCTTGCAAAATTAAAGAAATACAAGTCAAGTTTTTTGACACATTATTTATTTTTTTATGGTAATAACTAGAACACTCCATTGTAAATGAATTATTTTATTGGTATCACTTTCTTAAGAAAAATGACGATTGACCTCTACTACAGTCCAAGTGGATCCTCCTGTAGGATAGTCCTTTTAGCAGCTAAGTCTATTGATGTAGAATTAAACTTGATACCTGTAGATATCATGAATCCAGAAAGTTTCACCCCAGAATTTATTAAAGTAAGTAATTATTATAATTACTAAATTTGGACAAAAAAAAATATGTATGAAATGTTTCTATATTTTTTAATAAATCTTATAAAAATTAAGTAACTTTTAAGCTAAATCCGCAACATTGTGTACCAACACTCAATGACAGTGGTTTCGTAATTTGGGAGAGCAAGGCTATTATAACGTATTTGCAAAACCAGTATGGAAAAAACGATGACCTGTACCCAAAGGATCCGAAAAAACGAGCAACTGTTGACCAGAGGCTGTTTTTTGACACCGATTTATATGCACGTTTTCATGAAGTTTATGTAAGTATCTACATTCTGAACCATGATAGCAAGAATACAGGATATGATATTTCTGTGATTGGCGAACCAAAATTGGTTCGCNCTGTGATTGCTGAACCAAAATTGGTTCGCTTGGCGCATGACGTCAGCTGGAGAGTGAATTTAATAGGCGAATTAACGACACCGAATGTCACAGGCATGGAGACTACACAGTCGCAGGAACAAGCGGATCACGTGCATCTCTATCAAACTAACGTGTACAGGCTGGTCCATTTTCGATGGGAATTCAGGGTATTTCAGAAACTACTAAAGATATGATAAAACTGACACCACGTTCTCGAGCTCGATTTTCATGGCAAACTCGACTGTCAGATCGGAAATTTGCTATCTTCATTTGTTTCTAAGTTACAGGACGTTTCTCGTTATTGTGACACTTTTTAACATGTCTGTATCTCAGCTATTAAATAAGTTACAGTTAAAGTGAAAATTGCTCAAGACTAATTCTTTGGCGTAGAATTGAATGCCGGTATTAGATTTTTCGTATATCTTAAGAATTCGGAGTTATGACCCAAAGTTATATTTTTTTAAATGGAAATCGTAGCTGACCATGGCCTAAAAAAATAGAGATTTTTTTCCGCTTTTCAGCAATATATCATATGCTATAGTTATTTTTACAAACACGGGAGATACGGGGTGTTTTATATATAAATTATTTTTTTTTCCTTTTTAATATGACCGGCTATGAATATACAGATAAAACTACAATTCTTACTTTTACAAAAGTCATATCTGTTGTAAAAATATAACATTTATTTTAAATGCACAACATATACTCGTGTGATAATATAATGCTAACGAAATTTTAGGAGATAGGTGGATAAGAAGAAACGGACCGATCAGATGGCCAGCTAGGTTACCTGGCTTGAGTCTGTTGGACTTTTTCCTTTGGGGTTTTCTAAAAGACATTATATTTAAAATTCCTTTTAATAATATTTCAAATACCTATACATTTAATGAATGATACCCGAAGCGTTGCCAGAAAATGCGTGAAATGTGTGACAGTTGAGGGACGGCAATTTGAACATTTAGCTGTCAAGTTTTTATTCATGTAGGTACTTACTATTGTTTAATTTACGTTTAATATTGTAACTTCAGTTGAAGTGGAATAAAAATTTGAAAACTCTGTCTTTTCTTATCTGTAATATATATTTTAAATAAACGTCATATTTTTACAACAGATATGAGTTTTGTAAAAGTAAGAATTATAGTTTTGTATGTATTTTCATAGCCAGCCATATTAAAATGTAAAAAAGGATCGAATTTATATATAAAACACCCCGTATCTTCTGTGTTTGGAAAAATAACTATAGCATGTGGTATATTGCTGAAAAGCAAAAAAAATCTCAATTTTTTA